TTTTCACTCTTACATACATACATTCTCCTTTTACATACATATATTTTCACTCTTACATACATACATTCTCCTTTACATACATACATTTTCACTCTTACATACATACATTCTCCTTTTACATACATATATTTTCACTCTTACATACATACATTCTCCTTTTACATACATATATTTTCACTCTTACATACATACATTCTCCTTTTACATACATATATTTTATAATGTATGCATGTCTGAAGAGAATATATGTATGCAAGTGAAGAATGTATGTATGTGTGAAGACAATATATGTATGCAAGTGAAGAATGTATGTATGTGTGAAGACAATATATGTATGTGAGAGAAGAATGTATGTATGTGTGAGAGAAAGTATAGTGGAAACGGAAGGAGTATGGTTGAAACGGAAGGCAGGTCATTATTGCGCTGTGATTGGCTCAGAAGGTCGAGCAGGGCGGGCTCATGTTCAGAACTTCTGATTCAAATCAACATGATGGAGGGAGAGGGTTAGGGTTAGATGACTCCGTGTATCTACGGACCACTTGTTTTTCTTTATTAAACAAGTAAACGGAATGTGTCTGCGAGGCGTTTTTGTTTTTTTACCTTACTAAATGGTCTAATGGTCATTGTAGCGAGGGGGGGGCGCGATACTCGCGGAAGTGATTTCAAAACAAAAGCACTCGTTTGCTTGGAACGTTGAACATAATTATAAACAAGGGGAAACAAGGTGAATTTAGCGATCACAACGAAAACGGCCAAGACACACATTGAGCCCAGAAAATGAATGTTATTAAGGCTGTAAATATAATAAGCATGTGTCTAAAATGGACAACATTGTTAGGAGATTTAAACTATACAGCGATTCTGCACTGCGGTCACTCAGCCGTCTCTCGCGTTTGTCTTTTCAAATCAGCTGCTCTTCATATTTTACAAATATTTTTTACTGAAAGTTCCTAATAAAACTGACACTGTTGGACTCGAGGGGAGAAGAATAAATGGACAACATTGTTAGGAGATTTAAACTATACAGAGAGCCGTTTTTTCAAATCAGTAGCTCTTCATTTTCTTTTTACAAATATATTTTACCACAAGTTCTTCATAAAACTGACACTGTTGGACTCGGTACCAGTTTGACGGCTACTAACAATACATTGAAGTACTTTTACTGTGTACTTTGTGAGAAATACTCTGTCAAAGTCCCCTCCATAAAGCACATAATCTAATGCATCAGTCCGTCCCAGGCGGGAGTTTATAAACCAAAGAGTAACCGCCCTTACGGCACGCTCTGATAAGTAAAGCGAACGCACCCGCAAGGACACCTGGCCAGGGATGTGACAGTTTCAGGGGTTGACTAAATGTTCCTTAAAACCCCTAATGCTTGCTGCAATCTACGCGATTCATCTCCCTCCATCATGTTATGTTGATTTGAAATCAGAAGTTCTGAACATGAGCCCGCCCCGCTCGACCTTATGAGCCAATCACAGCGCAATAATGACCTGCCTTCCGTTTCAACCATACTCCTTCCGTTTCCACTATACTTTCTCTCTCACATACATACATTCTTCTCTCACATACATATATTGTCTTCACACATACATACATTATTCTCTTGCATACATATATTCTCTTCAGACATGCACATTATAAAATATATGTATGTAAAAGGAAAATGTATGTATGTAAGAGTGAAAATATATGTATGTAAAAGGAAAATGTATGTATGTAAGAGTGAAAATATATGTATGTAAAAGGAGAATGTATGTATGTAAGAGTGAAAATATATGTATGTAAAAGGAGAATGTATGTATGTAAGAGTGAAAATATATGTATGTAAAAGGAGAATGTATGTATGTAAGAGTTAAAATATATGTATGTAAAAGAAGAATGTATGTGCGTGAGAGGACCAGTATGAATTATGGCCTGTACGGCCCCTCATAGATCTGACATCTGGTGATCTGTCTGTGACCCTCAAATGATCATCACCTTTTCAGATTCATACATTGTGTCAGGTTGGACCTGTTGGACATACGGACCAGATTTATTTTGATGCACTATACAGTATTCTAGCCTAGAATAATATTATTAATCTGGTACACTCCTCCATTTTTGTACACATCTGTACCAACAGCTTGGGCAGACAGTGGCTTTTTTTTATTTGTAAAGACATAAACTTGCATATATACATATATCATATATTATATCAATAAAATGAAATAATACACTTGTTCTTGTTAATAAGGAAATGTCTTGAGTTTGCATCCTCATTTCATTTAATAGGACTTCTGCTGTTGTCCAAAGGCTTTGTAGCTAAAATGATATATTATACAGAAGTCTATTCATGGGATAATGTTATTTTAATATATTGTTAATATGGTAAGTATGTATCGGAAATGGTATACTTGTTACAAGGTCCTGACAGGAGTGATGCGCTGCTCTGCACCACGTTTTGAAGTAAGATTATGTTTTTTCAAAATAATAAATTGTCAATCAGAAACATGGGTACAATATTTAATGGAATAACAGCCCCATCCGGTGACCATTTCAATACAATACATTTTCACTGAAATAATCAAAAAGAAATGTGATTGTTGTAAATGAAATCATAATCCCATATAGTGAAACATTTAGTGATGCAAATAGGAAAATGATTATCCTGCAAATATTCTCTACTGCATATAAAGGACTAGAGGAGCAGCACGATGATGTTGGAAAGGCTCCAGGCGGAGATCCTGCAGCTCAACACCGGAATCCATATTATGATCAAACATAAAGATGATTATGTTGCAAAAAGTCAAGGAGTCTGAGATGAAAATTGCTAAATTAAACATTGTGGAAAGGTCAACATTTTTTGTTTATTTATTTCATTAAGTTATTAGCTATTTTTTAAAGAAGGCACAATGCAAATTATATTATCATTTATTTGTCCAAGGTTTAGCCATAGACAAACATAAAAACACATGCACACGAGCACAGACAAAAACACATGAGCACAATTAAAGATGGGCAGACCATGGGACGTTTTATAGACGAGTAAAATATCTGTAAATGTGATCATGTTACCTAATTTAAGAAATCATGGCTAGAGTTTTACATTGATGATATGAATTTGACTTTTCACCAGCATTGTTTTCATTTGTTGTGAAGTGGATTGTTTGTCTGTGATGTATGGTTGTATCCAGTTACATTACATGTGGTGACAAACTCAACCTTGGTAACTTGCAAATTAGAACCTCATGGTTAACTGTATAGTTACTAATGACCATGTGTTCACCTGATTTCAAAACTGTGCTCATTGCAGTTTTCCTAAAAACCTCCTTCATGAATGGACCAATGAACTGGTTTTGTGATAGGAGGAATGCTTTCATTAATACTGTGTCCATCCCATATCCATCCTTTCCCCTTGGAGTCTGTCACTTCTCTAAAGGCCGGAGTCCAGAGAGAGCTTTGATCCAGTGAAATTCTGAGTCAGTCTTTTTATAGAATCAATACATATGTATTAAATGCTGTTTCCACTTGGGTCAGTGGTCGAATTGACCTCAAAATTAAGTTCAGTTGTTTTATTAATTGTAATATATTTCCCTGTTAATTTCTTTAGTTTCTGCCAGATTTCTTTGGGATTTATTCTTTCTTCCTGAATAGCATTAATGAGAAATGTTGCTTTTGCGTTATTAAGCTCTTTAACAACAGTATTTCTCAGTGTGGTAAATACACGGCTGTCATTACTTGTGTTATTCTAGAGTGCCATCTTGAGTGTATGGTCTCATTAGTGACCATATTTTTTCATTCAACCACAAAGTCTCTTTGACCTGGTTTGTGTTTTAATTTGTTGTAAGGGTTATGCAGTTATCTGTACTTTGATGTGAGGTGCTCATTCCAATTAATTACTTTATTTGCATGTTCAAGATTGGTTAGTTGACTATTATGAATGTTATACTGCTCTGGCTTTTGAAAGCTGATAGATTGTTTTGTAATGAATGTTTCTGAAGAAGAAGTTATCATAGTTGGTCTTTAATAAACTGTGGAAGATCAAATGTACTTGTTACACTTTTAGCTCTTTCTTTTTTGCTCTATGTTTTTCAATTATTTTTCAAATATTGTAATCAAATACTTTTTTTATTTTGTATTATAACATTAAGGGTATTTAAACTGTCAAAAAACAAATTTGTTGCAGATGTTGGCCTATAAATATCAGTTATAGCGAGAGACAATTTGGCTGGGAGGGTTAACGCATGAGCTTTGGATTTACTTTGCTTTACTTTAAACTTAAAGGTCACTTATTATTATTATTATTATTATTATTTATGCAAAATCCACTTTTTTATGTCTTGTCTACATAAACATAAAGAGATTCTGAAAGTTTCAGGAACAAAGATTCTCTCTCTTTTTGATCCTATTCTATAAAAACCTGTCTGAAAATGAGCTGATCAGATTTTGGCCACTTTATGATGTCATAACGATGTGTTGTCTTGTGTAACCATTAGCCAATCAGCAACCAAGGTAACCCCCCCCCCCCCCCCTTATCACCTGAATCTCCTAGAGCTCCATTGAGTTCTTTGTAACCAAACCTCTCTCAGAGGGGCGTGGGGAGGGGCTCCTTATTTTCATCTAAAGTAACAGACAGAGAATCAGCACTTTGGAAACATTTAAATTGGTTTTAAATACTGTATGTATATACAGTATTATTTATTTTTTAATGTAAACAATGATGTAACTTTAGCTGCCACAAGTGAATTGGCTGTATTTATATAGCGCTTTATCCGACCGTATTACCCACAGCCACCGTCAGCTACAAGTGAAAGTTGGATAATAGTACAAATTAAATGAAATTAAACTACTGACTCAGAAAAGACATACATTTTAAAGAGCAAAGTCGATGGGATACTGGTCATACCAGACTGAGTAAGGCTGTAACCACTGAATGTATTGAATCAACCAACACTTCATTTATAGTGTTATTATTATTATTATTTTATTATTACATTTTCATTCATGAGAAAATTGTGTTTTATTTTTCAGTTACATATTTTATTGTTAATTATATACTGTGAACAATGGGTTGGATTTTTTCACATTATATACAGTGTAAATGGTATTGGTGTGTTAGTGGTACTACTTTGAACCCAAACTACAGAAATTAATATTTATACAGAAATATGTATACACCAATATACAAAGTTTATTTTTAAAAAATCCAACTTTTTCATTGTAAAAAGTCTCATCTCAACAGAACAACATCATCAGCAAACATTTACTTATAATATACTTTGAAATCTATGGCATTACAAAATGCTATCCTGTTTCACTGGGTTAAAACATACTGACTATAGTGACCTCTGTTGCCTGCTGCCCATCTCTGCTGCATGCTAGATGTTCCAGGCTATTAGCTGCTACTTGCATCACACCCAACTGTCAGCGACAGAGTTGCATTGTGGGTTGAATGGTTTCGCAGCCCCCTTTTTTCTTCAGAAATATTGAATAATAGTTTGTATACAGCATACACACAACAGGAAGCACAGCCAGGCATTATAATGCAAACTAGTTGCAGTGTTTTTCAACTGCCATGGTCTCTGGCAGTCATTGGACAAACATATATCAGGCTACATAGATGTGGTTTTGGCATTTGAGTATAAAGCTACAATAACTTATCAAATGATGCCCAGGTTTTCGTATATGATATCATCATTTTCTGGGCTCATACTGTCAGTAAGAGAGGAAGAGGACACAGAGCAGGAAGGGGTGGTGTTACTGGATGAAGAAAGACTAAATGGTGGTTTTGTTTTGCAGACTTGAGCATAAAGGTGGGCATATGGGTCAGGTTTGCTTTCATTGTTATGAGACACTGCCTCCTTCTTACTTATTGGCTCAGCATAAATGGGTTCATCATCTGCAAAAGGTATACATTTTCCTTTGCGCTGAGTGACAGTATCCTGGACCAGACTGATTTTGTCGTACACCTCTGAGTAAACAGACTCTGGTTGATGGGTGGTAAAGCATGGCTTTTGAGCAGAGGAGTTAATGGGGGTGACAGATTCTCTTAAACCTGGGGGTTTGAGGGGTAACACACATGCAGGGTCTACATACAGAGCTGTTGCCGATGGCATTTTTGGTACAGATTGCATGCAGTCAGCAGGGTCAGCATATACAGCTTCTGATTGGCCACCAAGTGGAGCTCCGCAGTGACTGTTATGTGTGGGTACCAGTGGAAGGGGCATCAGTGTGATAGGAGCTGGCTGCACTGACACGCTCTCTGATGAAATAAGCGAATCTCCCTGGGCATGTGCGCTCTCTTCTGAAGCAGCAGATTTACTTTCCTGTGCCCTCACTTTGTTCTCCACAACGGCAGCCATAAAGGTCCCATCTGGTATTTTGGGGAGAGGGGAATGAGCCCCTATGCGGGTCACGATAACTTTCTCCCCCTCTTGGTTTTGGTTGCTGAGAGGCACCGTTGAAGTCTTCGATTTGATGGTACTCTGAATCAGGGAGAATATTTTCTCAGCCTGCTGTGTCTCAAAGCGGAATGTTCCTGGACCGGAGTTACAGCGTCTACCTGCTTCAATGGTTAAGGCCAGCTGGTAAGAAAACACAAGCATGTTTTTAGCATGTTCATGTGAAAACAAAGCAAACAAATAAAACACACCTATTCTTATTGTAAGTGTAATTGGATTTTTTTTAATCGACACGCTGTGAGTTGTTAAAGGTAACGTAAGGATTGTTTATGATCCTGAGACCCTTACCTTATCTTTTCCATATCGTCTCAGCAGTTCGTAGGGCCATTCTCTAACAGTGTTCTTCTTCTCTGTTTCCCTCAGTAGCAGTGCCTCTCGCCCCACCTGCAGCCAATACGCCCCCTTCAGGCCGCAGCGCCACGCCGCGTCAGTCCTCTGAACCGTCACCCAGAACTCTGAGGCTGGAAACAAAAAGAGGAAATATTCTTTGTCATGGCTCTTCAAACAAATCAAATATTATTTAGTACAGTAAATATATAGCAACATTGGGTAACTGGCAACTGGCATGAATGCAGGTATTGTGAAAACAAGTAACCAAAGTTAACGGTATTAAAGTATAAGATCCTTGCCAAACTCATAAGAGGTATGATGATGTACCTTGGAGGTGGGTATCAACGGTTTTGGTTGATTTAAAACCACAAAGTCTTGGAATTTAAAATATGACACTTTTAATGCGATATTCAGACGATGAAAACATTTCTCACCTACAGTGACCCCGAGCTGGGTCTACATCCTGATTGATGACAAGAAGTTCGAAAGCTAAGAGCCACGCCTTAAAGAGGTCCAGGATATTGTGAGGAAATCAAGATCTGGCTCAGCGCCAGGCCCAAGACCAGTCCTGTACAAGGTCAACAAGAACTGTCCGTTGTTACCAAGACAGCTGTGGAAGATCCTGAAAGTCATCTGGAACACCAATGAAGGCCCTTATGGATGACCTGACTTTCACCATCGACTCAAGCTGGAAGATTCTGCAAGGAATTGATTGCCTGATGGGCAAGCATGAGGTTCAATCCTGGAAAATCAACGTGGCTGGTGCTGAAGAAAGATAAGGTCATGGATCTGTTCTGTTTTTGTCCCGACTGGAGGGCAGAGTACATAGGACCAAAATGCAGAAGACCGTTCTTTGAATTCAAAATCCTTTACTGGCGGATCTGGGCCAGGCTCAGTATCAACGCCCTGGACTCCAGCATGTGCAGAACTCTGCTGCTAGGGTCCTCACCTCCACTGGCTCCTGGTCAAGTCCTGCATCCTCTACAAACTCCTGCGGTCCTCTGATACAGGTCTGCTCTCCATCCCCCACACCAAACAAAAAACCTTTGGCAACAGGGCTTTCAGCGTCGCAGCCCCCACCCTCTGGAACGCCCTCCTCCTTGAAATCAGGACCGCTGACTCAAAAAAGGACTCAAAACACATCTGTTTGTCAAGGCTTTCAGCCTCAGTGAACTCCCCCCTCTACATTTTTGTGACCATCCTTTGTTTACTTCTGTTATTTAAATCGTATTTTCTCGCCCCTGTGTTGTGACTGTTTTCCTTTAGTCACTCACTGAGTCTGAAAACCATGACGAGTCCGAAACCGTTTGCTGTTTCGCACTGTGTGGATTAAACCACTCATTCAGTCCGCTCTCCAAATCTGAGTCTGCTGTTGACTCGTGCATGATGAGTCTGGATCTCTGGATCTGCTACGGTTACGGCTCTGAGTCCGCACGAGTCTGCAGGAAGTCCCCTGAGCCAAACGATAACTTCTGGCAGCTTTCCTACTTGCTAAAGGCAGATGGACTGGGGTACGTTGTACTGTGATTTGACATGTTATAAGGAGAGTAGTGAGTGAAGCAATTTATAGTTTTAATTTGTACGTCACCAGGCGTCTCGGGTTAATGGAGAGGGGAGACTCGTCACGACCAGCTCATTACTAGGATCCGGGTTAATGATCCGGATGAATCAGGACACACCCATCTCTACCCCCTATTGAACATCTGAAATCAGATCACTCAGTAATTCTGCAAAGCTGCGTGTGCATTAATGTTAGACTCCTTTCGTGCTTTTGCAACTGATAACAAAGATTTTACAGGGGAGTGAAGTGATATGTTTAACAACACAGTGGTTCATTTTTCTTTCATAAGACTGATCATGTCTAAGTTCAATCTATGTGCTTTTTATCGCACCATTATCATGTCAAACATTCAACTTTTTACAAAGCCTGTTTTCATTATGAAACATTCCTCTACGGGGGACCCAGGCCACAGTCTTACAAGAAGAGGAGAAGATACCAAGCATAGGAACAGAAGACTTACCTTCATCTACTGAGGCGTATATCTGGTTCTCCTCCATTTCAATCTGAGTAGAACCTGAGCCGTCACCTTTCTGAGATAGTAGAGGGAAGCACAGAGGTGAAAAACAGGCAGACAATGTATACAAAGTTTATACTAGCTAGAAAATATGGGTACTTATGGCCTCAGTTAAAAATGATTAAGGCACTAACAAATGTTGTCATTTGGGTTTGGCTCTAACCTGAAACGTGCTGGGACAAAGTTTTTCGACCCACTCCACGCAGTCGTCTTTTAACACAGCAAACACCATGGTCCTGTCCCGCGTCTCCACACAAAATGCTGACATGTTATCCTGCAAACAGCACAGACAGTGGCTGGAAAGGATGTATTTCAATAACACTGATACATGCAAACATTATACACCATCAGAGAGGCTGACCATGGGACAGGCCTCAGCGTTGGGGGGGAGTCTGAGGACACTGATCAGCTCGGACAGTTGGACCACCTTCAGCTTCCTGTCCCCATGAGGCTGGTGGTGTCTCCTGACACCAGCCACATGTTCGCCTCCAGCACCTGCAGGACAGACAATGTTCAAACAGACCCAGGATTACTATATTAAGATCACTAACTACAAACACATCATCTTCAATTTTTCTAAATTTAAAATGAAAATTGTATTTGCTCCTTTTAAAAACATTAAATGAATTGTCCTTGTCCATTAGACAGCTAGGTACCAACCTAATTGAAGATAAAAAATGTGTGTGTGTAAAGAAAAAATCAGCAGTGTGTGCAGGCCGCATGTTGACCTGATTCCAAACCGCCCCCAACCTCTACACGACCCCTCCATTGTGCCGAGGGTGCCGTTCTAAACCAACAAGTTCACTTTGTGACAGAGTGGGTAGGGTATGGTTTGGAGCTGGGCCTAAAAGTCTGACACTATTCTGACATTCTGACAGTTTGACCTCTCTGACCGGCCCTCAGGAGGACGTTTCCTGGGGGCCGGAGGCTCGTTCTGGCCTGACCTGCCGTCAACCTTTTTCTTGGCCTGTTGTGAACTTGACCAATGACAAGAAGCAATATAACGTATAGCAATGAGTTGATGAGCCTTTCAGAATTCACAGAACTTTCTGTAATTATTCCTGGAATTTCTCGTATTGCAATACATATCGCACAATATAAAAGTATTTAAAAATAATATTGTAGTGTCCGTTTCAAAGAGAGGTGCAGCAGTACGTTAGCAGGATTTTATCACGTGGTGGTAAAAGCAGTGCTCTTTTTTAATTTTAATATGACGAACACAAATGTCTCACTTACACCAATGAATAATCACGATAAATAATCATGACCTCAATTTTAATCAAATCATCATGATTTTCATTTAGCACATTATCAGCCAGGATAATGTACTGAGTAGGCTACACATGTATTTGTTTTCACTCTTCTCTAGCAAGTTTGCAAGAAAATGGAAATTGGAAATGTTAGAAATGGCCCTCTTTAATGGCCATTTCTAAAAGGATGATGGAACATTGCCCACACCTGAAACTTGTGCTTGTCTTATGGTGTACTTCTTAAATATATACAATAGAGGAAATAAGTATTTGATCCACTGCAGATTTTGTAAGCTTACCCACTTACAATGAAATTAACAGTCTGTAATTTTAATGGTAGGTTTATTTGAACAGTGAGAGTAAGAATGTCAAGGAAATCCAGAAATTGACATTATATAAAAGATCAAAATCTATTTGCATTAACTGTGGGAAAAAAGTATATAAATGTGTGTGTGTGTGTGTGTGTGTGTGTTATGATTGGATTTTCTTGTTGGTCATTCAAGTGTTTGTAACCATTTGTTACTAAACAGATATTAATGAATAGGGTTAGCCCACACAATCAGGGGTCTGGGGGTTTGGCCGGGCGAACAGGTTTGCCTGGAATGGAGTCTAACTCTCAGTCCTCCACTCCCTACACACACTATTCAAGTAACAGGGCATTTCCACTGGCTTTACGGAGGGGGGCTGGACCTCTATGCATCACACTTTGATCTCAATCTCCAGTTCACTTTAAACCCGAAGAGACTCAAAATGCTGGTGAGGAGACCTTCCCTGAAGGCCAGATACCCACAGGTGTTATCTGGGAGTACTTTGTTATGCCTTACTGTTGAAATCAATCACAAGTATTACATGTATTGGACTTCAGGTCTTTTTGATGTGCATACTTACAGTGAGTGCACTGTTATAACTTTATTTCAATGAAAATGCTGATTCTTTCTGATAAAGCTGACTTTATTTTGGAGATCTAAGAGAAAAGGCAGCCCTCAGGGAATATAATTCAACTTCAAACATTCCTGCACCCTCACACTCCTGCTCTGCAAACAAAGCCAATCCCTCTGAACTCTGTCACACTCTGGACTTTGGACACATAACACAACACCTGTATCTTAAGAGGTTCTGATGGAATCACTTGACCCCTGGTTGATCCTGGCTGTCAGTGAGTCCAGCTGGACATGACTGAGGCCATCTCTCCAGCCTTCATCTTTTCCTTCTTGCTCCTCTCCAAAATAGATGAGGTTGTTAAACATTTAAAACGTAAGACAATCAAATATTTCAAATTTTAAATTTAGAAAATGGTAATTGTAAACTAAAAACTGTAGGAACAGATAGTGCTGCAGTATGAATCCTGCCATATGAACATATGTTAGTGCACATCATACAGAGGGGAGTCTCTGCGGCTCTCTGTGACAGCAGCTCTGTCCGTGCTTTAGTGTCGGAAAATGTACTTAATGCCGATCATGTAGGTACCATGTTATAATAAACCCTTTGATTTCTCATACCAGTTTGTCATGTATTTCTCCATCACAACATCACATGTGTATTTGTCCCCCAAAATTCAAGTTAATACTGATATTTTAACATTGTGATTAATAAACCATCCATCCATCTTCTCCCGCTTATCCGTGGTCGGGTCGCGGGGGTAGCAGTTCCAGCAGAGAGCCCCAAACTTTATTTTCCCTGGCGACATCAACCAGCTCTGACTGGGGGATCCCAAGGCGCTCCCAGGCCAGAGAAGAGATATAATCCCTCCACCTGGTCCTAGGTCTACCCCTTGGTCTCTTCCCAGCTGGACGTGCCTGGAACACCTCCCTAGGGAGGCGCCCAGGTGGCATCCTAACTAGGTGCCCGAACCACCTCAACTGGCTCCTTTCGACGCGAAGGAGGAGCGGCTCAACTCCGAGTCCCTCCCTGATGACCGAACTTCTCACCTTATCCCTAAGGGAGACACCAGCCACCCTGCGGAGAAAACCCATCTCGGCCGCTTGTATTAATAATGATTAATCTTATATTATTGTGATTCACGCAATTACTATCGATTGACATCACTACTACATTCAAGTTCCAAACATAGAAACAAACACTAGAGGTCGACATTTTCATTTGTATGTCTTCAGCTGGGCCTGCTATGGTGTGTGTGTGTGTTTGTGTTTGTGTGTGTTTGTGTGTGCGTGTGTGTGTGTTTGTGTGTGTGGGTGTGTGTTTGTGTGTGTGGGTGTGTGTTTGTGTGTGTGGGTGTGTTAAGGTAAAGAAGACAGCGAGGGATACAAGTGAAGCTCCTTCCTTCTCCTTCCTTGTTAATCCACACAGCTCTTATCATGGCAGTCACTTAGACTTGTCAGCGTCTAAATGGACTGCAGTCCACATGTGCTAACGCCCTTGCCCTCCGTCTCAGTGGGCATCACGTCCTGGGGGACCCACACTAACTGGCGTCCCACACAGGTTAGCACCACTGCCTCTTCACCTCCGCCTGCAGCTGTTCTGTCACTCAGTCTAATGGCTGATTCATGTTTTCCCTTTTTGAACTATGCTACTCTGCCTTAGTTATGATTTTAAAACTCAAGTCCATGTTACTATACAAATACATGTCCCCCCCCACACCCATAAAAAGTCTACTTTGACTTCTAGTAACACATGGACAGAGTTTACTGTATACAATGAGCCTCAATGTCTTGGAAATCTATTTCACTTCAAAGAGACAAACAGTGAGAGAGGTAAAAAAGGAAAGTGTACCTCCCATATCCTGGATCTCAAGGCGACCCCCCCCACTGCAGGGAGGAAACAGAGACAACCACACCGGCTTCCATTTCTGCGAGGAGGAACGCACAGCGTGTTATAACTCTACCTCATGAGGGAGTGTAACATTATACATTGGGTTACATACTTTACTCATCCTGCAAGTCTACCTTTTCCTCCTGCAGACTACAGCACCCAGGTCAATGATGTTTACGGATTTTCAACAGGAAATTATAAAAATGCAAACAATAACAATATCTATTAACATTTTATTTTAACGTTTAAAATGTTGAGGATGCATACATTCATATTAAAAATAATATTGAGGAGAGCTAAGTGTGGTGTAATGTGGTGCGACCATGTTTTTTCTTAAAGATAACTCATTGTTTAACAGAGATTTTGTTCAAAGTGAATTTATATTTCTGTTATATTTTAGGGGTCCCCAACCTATAGCTTTTCTCTGTGAATGTGCTCATCAGTGACTTTCGACCCCCCCCCCCTCATGTGACACAGGGAGGTCCACATGAGTCCCGTCCTCTCTGTCCCACTGTGAGGACAAACATCACCTCTTACCCAGTCTTCCTTCAGAATGTATCACTGCTGTGAAGGGACAAATGTTACAGTACCATATACATCAATTATTATCACTCAACATAAGTCATATATACCTCATGTTTCATGTACTGCAAGGTGATGTAGTGGATATTTACATTTCTTTACCAGTTTCCGGTTATTTGTGAGACGGTTGAGTTTAAGATTAAGGTTCAGGTTCCTCTGCCCTGAAACGCAGCGAGTGTGAGCTGTGTGTCGGGGGTGCTCAGGAATGTGCAGCTTGAGTTCTGTTTCAACTTGTTCAGTTGGATTCCTGCTCTGGACTCTCCTTAGCTACAGGGAAAGGCTCACATGTGTTCCTTCAGATAACTGTAATCTGATTCAACTTGGACAGAATGATACACATGGACGTTAAGTCTGTTGAATACACAATGCAATAAACAATGTAGTATTATCAGCCAATCAGATGGATTACCGTTTACCAAGTCAGTTTTCACGCTCCTATGAGGTGGATATGATTATATTTTTAAGAATGTAAACGTAACACAAAGGAATTACTATCCGCTGCTGGTAAACATGCAGTAAAATGAATCCTATGTGCTGTCCCAGGCTGAGAAACAGATATGATCTGTATATGTACTCACTTTGCCAGCTTTGTGTGGTTGGAGGTAAGCCTTCCCTGTTTTGGTCTCAGGGTCCATCTGGAAACAGAAATACTTCAAATCGGTTAGAAAGACGATGAGGTTTCCTTCTTTCTTTCGTATGGTGAATAAGAGAGAGGGGCGTGCCCACAGTGAGACATTCTTGAAATATGATCCTCACCTGAAACACATGTAGAGGTGCAGCTGTGAGTCAAACACACACACACACACACACACACTTTCATCATGGCGGCTCCGAGACAACAGGTCTGATTTGTTCCTGCCAAACCTTTAACCCTGAGACATCTACTGCGACCATCCATCATCGGCTGAATTAACCAATTTAACTGCATGAATATGTATCCACTTAAATGTTTGGTTTACAGATCCACCTGTGTGACGGTGAAGGCCACAAAGACTCTGGTCCAGTTTTGTACAGTATTCAGGGTGATGATTAACAGGGTCAACTCCAGCAGGCTGAAACATTTTCTGCAAAGCACAAAACTACTCTTGATGTGAAGATTGGTAATGCAATAGAACTACTAAACAACAACTTGTTTTTCTTTTTGAAGAATTATTTTGGGAAAGCACTGCCTTTATTTAATTGTCTGTGTTTGAAAGAGGGAGATAGAGGGGATGACAGGCGGCAAATGGTCCCAGGCTGGATTCAAGAAACTGAAACTGTTACTAATTACTTGGAACATGTAAGCTGGAGAGGTCAGTCCAATGAAGGTAGAAACTGTAAGGAAATATGTTGGTCACCTGACAAATGAAAATTCAATATTCACTTTCCTTAAAGGTGGGGTATGTAAGTTTGAGAAACCGGCTCGAGATACACTTTGTGTTATATTCCATGGAATGCTCTTAACATCCCGATAGCAATGAATATCTGAAGTGCTTTGACAAAAAGTCCATAAAAAATGTCATCTGTGGAAGCTGTAGTACTGTAAAAAGCACGACCAATCATCTGAGCCGGCCCGGCTAAAATAACTGGATGGCCTACCTGCCTGTCAGCCTTCCATCTGTGCACAAACTTGTCTCGTGCCCTCATTGGTCATGTGCGCGTTTGTGTGTGTTGGAGGAGGGGCTCTGTAAGGAAGTGGGAGATTTTTTCAGTTGTGTATTTTCAAATTCTAGCGCACTTGAGCTGGTTTCTCCAAAATGACCTACCCCACCTTTAAGCCTCTTTTGGTTTTAACAACTGAGGAAATTAACTGGCAAATGACATTACATTACGTCACTTGTTAGACACTTTTATCCAAAGCGACTTACATACATTCAGTACTGTGGACACTCCTCACAGGAGCAATTTGGGGTGAAGTGTTATGCCCAGGGACACAACGACATGCTGACTGCAGTGGGGTTTGAAATTGCTATCCCCTGATTCGAAGTCCAGCACACTATCCACTGAGCCACAGCCTCCACTCCAAATTAAACATACATTTATATATAGTATTGTGGTGACACCATGTGGGACCATAATTCACCTTGCTTATTGTGTTGCCACACGGACCCTTTAGTGGGGAACACCTGTAGCTTTAGCTGCCATCCCTGCTAGCTCATCAGGCAGAGCAGTGCATGTGTTAACCTCTCTGATAGTAATGGATAATAAAGATTGGAACTCCATTCTTAATACACCGCCTCCGACTCTCTTCCCCCCCTAGCTAAATCTGCTAGGGGAGGAAGATCCCCGGATTTTATTCACGGAGATTTTCCTGCGTCACTTGCCTCCCCGGGTCCAGACATCGCTGGCCAACACGCCTGTCACGGAGCCCCGTGCCTTGGCTGAGGAAGCGGATCGTTTTTTCCTGGCTACACAACAGCCCGGTGCAGAGACGTTAGCCGCGACGCTCAGCGGCCCATCTGCAGTCAAGAAAGCGTGGCGGAGGCAGGATACGGCTGTATCGAGCCGGCGTGGAGACACCGGAGAGTGCTTTTACCACGCACGTTTCGGGACAATGGCGAAGAAATGCATCGCCCCGTGCAGCTACAAACCCCCGGGAAACAGGGGGGCTGGCGCTCAGTAGCGGCCCTGAGCGTCGGCGGCACGTGCAGGCTCCTCTTCGTCAGCGACAGCGTTTCGGGGAGCCTGTTTCTGTGTGACACGGGCGCTCAACGGAGCGTAGTTCCAGCGTCGAGTGAAGACGTCACCCGGGGTGGGCACGGACCGCGATTGACGACGGCTAACGGTGGTCCCATTCGCACGTACGGCGTGAGGCCTATGTGTTTGTGCATCGGAGGACAGCGTTTCAGCTGGGATTTTGTGACAGCGGACATTTATTTTCCCCTCCTCGGAGCGGATTTTTTGTGTGCTCATGGACTCTTAATGGACGTTAAGAATAGGCGTTTGGTTGATGCCTTAACGTTTTCTTCCCTCGTGTGCACACTTGGCAGCGCAGCGTACCAGCAGCTGTCGGGCTCGCTGTCGGGGGCAGACACGTTTCTCAGACTGTTGGCCGAGTTTCCAGACCTGTCGCTGCCCACCTTCTCTGCGCTTACCACTAAGCATGGCGTGGAGCACCACGTCACTACCGAGGGGCCTCCTGTCGACGCCAGGGCCCGGCAGTTGAACCCTTCTAAGCTGGCTGGTTCGCAACCATGGAGCGCCTGGGCTTTGTCCGCCGCTCCGACAGTCCTTGGGCTTCCCCCCTGCACATCGTCCCCAAACCGAACGGTGGGTTCCGCCCGTGCGGGGATTACCGCCGACTCAACGACGCCACTACGCCTGACCGCTATCCGGTGCCGCACATTCAGGACTTTTCGGCGCATCTGGCCGGTACGGAGGTGTTTTCGAAGGTGGACCTGGTGCGTGGATACCACCAGGTGCCCATGCACCCCCTGGACATTCCCAAGACAGCAGTGATAACGCCTTTTGGACTTTTTGAGTTCCTGCGGATGCCTTTTGGACTCAAGAATGCTGCTCAGATGTTCCAGCGCCTGATGGATTCGGTGCTGCGGGACCTGCCATTTGTGTTTGTCTACCTCGACGACATACTCGTCGCCAGCGCTTCAGTGCAGGAGCACCTGTCCCACCTCCGAGCCCTTTTCACACGGCTCAACGAACACGGATTAATCATCAATCCTGCAAAGTGCCAGTTCGGGGTGTCTGACATTGATTTCCTGGGGCACCGCGTCACCAAGGGCGGTGCGGCACCTCTGCCGGCAAAGGTGGAGGCTGTTGCGGCTTTTCCTCGCCCGCTCACAGCCCGGTCGCTCTGTGAGTTTCTGGGGATGGTGACCTTCTACCACCGTTTCATCGCCCGGGCCGCACACATCATGCGGCCGCTGTATGAAGCATTGAAGGGCAAGACCCCCGTCCAGGCGATCGACTGGACGGCAGAGGCGGACGTCGCTTTTGCTGAGGTCAAGACTGCGTTGGCTCAGGCGGCTTTGCTGGCACACCCATCATCTACGGCTCCTATCTCCATCACCACGGACGCGTCGGACTACGCGGTCGGCGCGGTGCACGAGCAGTGGGTGGAGGGCGCTTGGCAGCCGCTCGCCTTTTTCAGCCGCCAGCTGACGCCCAGAGAACGCAGGTACAGCGCTTTTGACCGTGAGCTCCTGGGTCTGGCAGCTTTCCTACATATCGGAGTTCACCACAGACATTAAGCACGTGGCTGGCAAGTCGAACCTGGTTGCAGATTGCCTCTCCAGAGTCGTCATCGGAGCCGTCCAGTTGGGCCTGGACTATACTCGCATGGCGGCGGACCAGGTCACAGACCCCGGCGTCCAGGCTCTGAAGGTGGAGGGCGCGGGGCTGCGCTTGGAGGACGTGGTGTTCGGCGACGCGGGCGTTACCCTCCTGTGTGACGTCTCCACAGGCCTGTCGCGGCCAGTCGTTCCCGCCAGCTGGAGGCGCTCTGTGTTCGAGGCAGTGCACGGACTGTCACACCCCGGCGTTAAGCCTTCGGTGCGCTTGGTGGCCGCGAAGTTCGTCTGGCATGGGCTGAAAAAGGACGTGAGGACTTGGGCTGGTGAGTGCATGGCTTGTCAGCGCGCTAAGGTGCACCGCCACACGAAGGTGCACCGCCACACGAAGGTGCACCGCCACACGAAGGTGCACCGCCACACGAAGGCCCCTTTGGAGCATTTCCTGGTGCCTGAGAGGAGGTTTGACCACGTCAACATTGACCTGGTTGGTCCATTGCCCTCCTCTCAGGGCTTTTCCTACCTCCTCACCATGGTGGACAGGACGACCCGTTGGCCGGAGGCGGTCCCGCTCGTTTCGACGTCGGCCGCGGACGTTGCCCGGGCCTTCATTGCAACGTGGGTGTGTCATTTTGGCACCCCGTCGGACATTTCCTCAGACAGGGGCTCTCAGTTCACGTCCGAACTCTGGAACGCCGGGGCAGGCGGTTTGGGGGTTAAGCTGCACAGGACTACCGCTTACCACCCTCAGGCTAACGGCCTCTGCGAGCGCTTCCATCGCTCCATGAAGGCGGCCCTCAAAGCCGGCCTTAAGGACGGGAATTGGGTCGACAAGCTGCCCTGGGTGATGCTGGGCCTGAGGACTGCGCCTAAAGAAGACCTGCAGTGCTCTACGGCTGAGATGGTCTACGGGCAGCCGTTGAGAGTTCCAGGGGATTTCCTTCCTAACGCATCGGCTCCCTGGTCCGCATCGGCTCCCTGGTCGGCGTCGGCCCAGCGGGCTTTCCTGCAGGACACCGCTGAGGCCTTTGCTCCGATCCCTACTACTCAGCACGGTACTCAGGTGTCCCAGGTTCACGCAGAGCTCCGCTCGGCGGAGCACGTGTTCATCCGGCACGATGCGCACAGAGGCCCCCTGCAGCCCCCTTATTTTCCGACTCCCGTGCTCAGGAGTCGTGGGGGTCGGCGTGTCGTTCCTCCCCGCCATGCTGATTTTGTTTATGTCTGAATTCTGGGGGGGCTTGTGTGGTGACACCATGTGGGACCATAATTCACCTTGCTTATTGTGTTGCCACACGGACCCTTTAGTGGGGAACACCTGTAGCTTTAGCTGCCATTACTGCTAGCTCATCATGGCAGAGCAGTGCATGTGTTAACCTCTCTGATAAGAATGGATAATAAAGATTGGAACTCCATTCTTAATACACCGCCTCCGACTCTCTTTTCACGGCACTACAGTATATTTATTAGTTTAATTA